AAAAAAAAAAAGCAGCCCTGTGCCCTGGGATCTGAGAGCCAGCAGGGTATGGGGTGTGATGGCATGATGCAGGGGTGGCCAGTGCTCCCTCAACACTGGTCAAGGAGAGGTCCTGGCGGCAATGCTGTTTGTGCAGAGTCTCTGAGTAAACAGAACCTCTCTTGGTGGAGGGTGAGGCTGGAGCATCTAGTTGTGGGGATGCCCCTAGCCAAGATGGAGCTCAAGGAGCAGGAGGGGGTGAGTGACTGTCCCAGTGATCCGTGTCTGCATATCTTTTACAGAAAGGAAGGCAGAGGAAACCACGGCCCCTGGACCCTGGCGAGGGCTCCAAGGACACAGACAGCTCTGCGGGACGGCGGGGTAGCGCCGGCAGAAGGCATGGGCGCTGGCGGGGTCGTGCTGAGAGCCCGGGCGTGCCGGTGGCCAAGGTGGTACGGGCAGTAACCAGCCGGCAGAGGGCCAGCCGGCGGGTCCCACCCGCCCCACCCCCAGAGGCCCCTGGCCGCCAGAACCTGAGTGGGGCGGCAGCTGGGGAGGCGCTGGTAGGGGCAGCTGGCTTCCCACCCCACGGAGATACAGGGAGTGTGGAGGGCGCCCCTCAGCCCACGGACAGCGGCTTCACCCCCAAGTGTGAAATCGTGGGCAAGGACGCACTGTCTGCACTGGCCCGGGCCAGCACCAAGCAGTGCCAGCAGGAGATCGCCAACGTGGTGTGCCTGCACCAGGCTGGGAGCCTCATGCCCAAGGCTGTGCCCCGTTACTGTCAGCTGGCCGGTGAGGGACAGGGCATGCAATCTCTCCCAGGCCTGGGTGGGAAGTGGCGTAGACAGATACTCACCCCGACTCCTTAGAGAAAGGAACTCAGAGGGGTCCAGCTCTCTGCCCGTGCTTTTGTTCAGTGCACTTACTGAGTGGCAGAGGCAGAGCGGGACCCCAGAGTATCGGGCTCTGGGGCCAGGCTTCTTCTCTGGGAAGGCAGGCAGCCCCTCTTCCCATCTCACCCCACCCTGTGGCCTGGGGTGGTTCTCTCACCGGTGCCCCAATTCTCTGCTCTCAGGGAAGATGAGTCCCGGCATCCAATGGGATGAGACACGGGCCCAGCAGCCCGTGGGTGGCCCCCCAGTGCGAATTGCCTACATGCTGGTGGTCCATGGCCGCGCCATCCGCCAGCTGAAGCGTCTCCTCAAGGCCGTCTACCACGAGCAGCACTTCTTTTATATCCATGTGGACAAGGTACTGTGGCGGGGAGTCCAGCGGGGCCTGGGTTGAGCAGAGCGGAGACAGAAGGGTGCAGACAGATGGGGTCTCTGACCTGGCTTGGATGGCCTAGAGACAGGGAAACTGAGGTGCAGAATGGGGGAGCGGCCAGCACAGGCTGGCTCAGCCGTTAGGAGCTGGAGGCCTGCCCCGCGCTCCATTTCTGTGCCTGGGGTGAGAGGGGATGGTGCTGATGCTGGGCCCAGCTGTCTGTCTCCTCCCCCAGCGTTCCAACTACCTGTACCGGGAGGTGGTGGAGCTGGCCCAGCGGTATGAGAATGTGCGGGTGACGCCCTGGCGCATGGTCACCATCTGGGGCGGGGCCAGCCTTCTGAGAATGTACCTGCGGAGCATGCAGGACCTGCTGGAGGTGCCGGGCTGGGCCTGGGACTTCTTCATCAACCTCAGTGCCACCGACTACCCAACCAGGTATGCGGGTGGGGCTCTGAAGCTTCTGGATGGGAGGGGAGCCCCACCTGGGCACTTGGGGTTGGAGGGCCCCAGTGGACCCTCCCCACCCCCAAGCCTCATTCTGGGACCCCTGTGGCCCAGACATGGCCCACTGGCCCCCGCCATGTTTTAGGGGAGTGGCTGGTGAAGGATGATCTGAGAGATGAGAATGACAGGAGAAGGGGAGGAGAAGGAACTACAGGTCTGTACCTGGCACTGGGTCAGATAGGGTGGAGGAAGGATGAGGTCATCCTCAGGGGCTCTCCATCCCAGAGCATCAGCCAGGGGCAGGACACGGCCAGACAGCTCCAGTGGAAAAGGAAGGGCCACGGTAAAGGTCAGGAGTGCCAGGGGGGTCTGCTCTGAGCCAGTGACCGAGCAGCCCTTCCTCACACGGCCGCCTGCTCCCCATCCCACACCAGGACCAATGAGGAGCTGGTGGCATTCCTGTCCAGGAACCGGGACAAGAATTTCCTCAAGTCACATGGCCGGGACAATTCCAGGTGAGGTGGGTTGGGAAGGAGGCTCTGGCCCTGGGGTCTTGTCCCTGCTCATTCCACGCGGTGGGCTCAGTGGGGCTCAGGGGCCCCAGCCCTGAGTTACAAAGCCTCCAAACCAATCACAGATTGAGGAGCGTTGGTTGCCAGGTGGATGAAAGAGCTTGGACCCACCTCCAGGACCCTGAGCCGCGGCCCTTCTGCCACCCGCAGGTTCATCAAGAAACAGGGCCTGGACCGGCTCTTCCATGAGTGTGACTCACACATGTGGCGCCTGGGCGAGCGGCAGATCCCGGCGGGCATCGTGGTGGATGGTGGCTCCGACTGGTTCGTGTTGACGCGCGGCTTTGTGGAGTACGTGGTGTACACAGACGACCCGCTTGTGGCCCAGCTCCGCCAGTTCTACACGTACACGCTGCTCCCCGCCGAGGTGGGTGGCCAGGCGGGCGTGGGGCCGGGAGGTGGGGGTGGCTGCTGCGGCTCACGCCCATCCCCCTCACTGCCTGCAGTCCTTCTTCCACACGGTGCTGGAGAACAGCCTGGCCTGTGAGACCCTTGTGGACAACAACCTGCGGGTCACCAACTGGAACCGCAAGCTGGGCTGCAAGTGCCAGTACAAGCACATCGTGGACTGGTGTGGCTGCTCCCCCAATGACTTCAAGCCGCAGGACTTCCTCCGGCTGCAGGTGTGTGCCCGAGGCCCTGAGAGGCTGCCCCTTGCTGGGCCTTCGCCCGGCTTTTCACCACAAGCTTCCCAAGGTCAGAAAGGTGGGGTGGGCCAGTTAGACACTCTGGGGGCCTCACCCGGAGCAGCCCTCAGGAGACTGGGGCTACCACGGCAACAGGAGAAGCTGCGGGAGGCTGACCTCTGGGTGCCCCACCGTGTCCTCCGGGCCTCCAGAACCCCTCACTTCCTCGTCTCTCCTGCTCCAGCAAGTCTCCAGACCCACCTTCTTCGCCCGGAAGTTCGAGTCGACCGTGAACCAGGAGGTGCTGGAAATCTTGGACTTCCACCTGTATGGCAGCTACCCCCCTGGCACACCGGCCCTCAAGGCCTACTGGGAGAATACCTATGATGCAGCTGACGGCCCCAGTGGGCTCAGTGACGTTATGCTCACTGCCTACACCGCCTTTGCCCGCCTCGGCCTGCACCAGGCCGCCACCGCCGCACCCCCACCGGCCACCCCACTCTGCAGGTGAGACCCCCCATTCTGACGTAGAACAGACCCTTAGGGTGTGGTGCCCAATGGGGAGGCCAGTCAGAAAAGCGACAGCCCCTGCCTGTAGCCAGCCCCCAGTCTGAGGCAGGGAAGAATGCAGATTCCAAAAGAAGGTGAGAGCAGGCACGCAGGTGCGGTGGGTAAGAGCCTTGGGAAAGACGTGCCTGGGATGGGACTCCCCAGAGCCCCCTCCCTGGGACTCCAGGCAAGTCGGGTGTGCTGATGGCATCTCCCTTTCTCCCTGCTGGAACCTTCTTAGGTTTGAGCCCAGGGGCTTGCCGTCCAGTGTGCACCTGTATTTCTATGACGACCATTTCCAGGGCTACCTGGTGACGCAGGCGGTGCAGCCCTCACCCCAGGGGCCAGCAGAGACGCTTGAGATGTGGCTGATGCCCCAGGGGTCGCTGAAGCTGTTGGGGCACAGTGACCAGGCCAGCCGGCTCCAGAGTTTGGAGGTGGGACAGGTCCCTCCTTGCCTTTCTCCTGACCCCCAGCAAGACTCAGGGTAGTGGGGAGAGAGGGACAGATACCAAGGGAGGGGTAAGGACTTGGTCAGGCCTGTGTGGACTGGGTTCACTAGGCTCTTTTGCCCAGTAATGGCAGCCTTGGGGATGCCCCCATACAGATACTCTGCGCCACCCCCCGCATGTGTACACTGAGGACACGCAGGGAATAGGGAGGGGATTCAGTTCCACTACAATGCAAATTCAGTCTTTTAAGCTACAGAGATTTCTAGAGGGACTCGGATATTCAAGTTGGGGTATAGGCTCCTCAGTCTCCTTAGAGACTTGACTCATGTGGGAATGGGCTCTGGGTTGGGCTTTGTACCTCATCTCTGCCTTCTCGTCCCTACCACCATGGAGCAGTTCAGAATGGAAGCCTAGAACAAATCTCAGAGCTAGGAGAGAAATTAAAGATCTCCTAGTCTGGCCACTTCATTTTGCAGATGGGAAAACAGGTCCAGAAAGAGAGTGGCCAACCCGAGGTTACACAGTGAGAGACAGCATCAGAGTAGAAAGAAGGACCTTTCCCCAGGCTCCTGCCCAGCTGCCTCCTTCCCTACAGGTTGGCACCGAGTGGGACCCCAAAGAGCGCCTTTTCCGGAACTTTGGGGGGTTGCTGGGGCCACTGGACGAGCCTGTGGCCATGCAGCGCTGGGCCCGGGGCCCCAACCTCACAGCCACGGTGGTCTGGATCGACCCAACCTATGTGGTGGCCACATCTTATGACATCACAGTAGATGCGGAGACCGAGGTCACACAATACAAGCCCCCACTGAGCCGGCCCCTGCGGCCAGGGGCCTGGACTGTTCGACTGCTTCAGTTCTGGGAACCGCTGGGTGAGACCCGCTTCCTTGTGCTGCCCTTGACCTTCAACCGCAAACTACCTCTCAGGAAAGGTAAGGATGTAGTTCCCAAACAATGCCTAGAAGCCAGGCAGAATAGGATTCACCAGGGAGGCAATCCCAAGAAGCCAGCCATCAGAGCTGACCCTCATCCCTAGAGTAAGGGAAGGGGAGGACGACTGGGGCCTTGATGGTCTGTCCCTTAGCACACCTGGGTCCTGCCGTGTGGCACCCGGAGAAAGGGAAGCTTTTGAGTCAGGCTGACTTGAGTTTGGAACATGGCTCTGACAGTTTCCTTGGTCTTTTATCCTTGGAAATGACTCGGGCTTCCTCAGTCCTAGCACATGTCTAGGAGGAGTGGTACAATGATAGAGATCTCCTGAGTGCATGCAACACAAACCCACCTGACCTAGTTCAGGAAATTACTGGAAGAAC